TTTCCCCCATTTGTTGCCACCTTTTGGATTATTTAAATTTTTTTTTTTTTTTTAGTATTCTGTTTTAATTTATTGTGTTTTTGACTATATCTCTGTGTTGTTTTTTAAGTAGTTTCCCTAAGGATTACAATATACATACTTTTTAGAGTCTATGTAGAATCAATAGTTGCCACTTAAACTGTGGTGTAGAAATCTTACTACTTTATAGGTCTCATTACCTTCTCCCTTACGTTGTAGTTATTTAATGTAATCTACATATATTAGAAAAATCCTTAGACAATGTTATTTTTGCTTTCAATTATAAAAAATAAAGTCACACCTCATTTTATTGTGCCTCACTTTATTGTGCTTTGCAGGTATTGCATTTTTCACAAATTCAAAGGTTTGTAGCAACCCTATATCTGCCGAGTCTGTTGGTGCCATTTTCCCAGCAGTATTTGCTCACTCTGTGTGTCTGTGTCTCATTTGGGTAATTCTCAAAATATTTCAAACTTTTTCACTATTATATTTGTTATGATGATCTGTAATCAGTGATAAAAATTCATTGAAAACTCAAATAATTGACATTTTTTAGCAATAAAGTATTTTTTAATTATGTACATTGTTTTCTGGACATATGCTGTTGCACACTTAATAGTGTAAACAATACTATTATATTTTTTTGGTTTGACTCACTTTATTGTGATAAAAAAATTGACTCACTTTATATAAAGTGTGATATCACTTTATTATGGTGGTCTTGAACTGAACCCACAATATCTTCAAGGTATGCCAGTATTTTAAAGAACAGAGAAAATTTATTATTGAGATTTTTACTGTTTCTGTTTTCATCATTCATTCCTGATGTTCCCAGTTTCCTTCTGACATAATTTTCCTTTTGCCTGAAGAATTAGAACACAATTTCTGGCCATGACTTCTTTTGTGTTGTTTTTTTTTAAGTTTTTAAAAAATGTTTTATTTATTTTTGAGAAAGAGAGACAGAGTGCAAGCAGGGGAGGGGGCAGAGAGAGAGCGAGACACAGAACCAAAGCAGGCTCCAGGCTCAGCTGTCAGCACAGGTCATGATCTCACAGTTCGTGGGATCAAGCCCCACATCAGGCTTTACACTGCCAGCATGGAGCCTGCTTGGGATTCTCTCTCTCTCTCTCTCTCTCCCTCCCTTTCTCTTTGCCCCTCCCTGGCTTGTGTGCACTCTGTCTCTCTCAAATAAATAAATAAACATTTTTTACCTTATTCCTGATGTATAATTTTTGATACAGGATTCTGATTTGGCAGTTCTTTTTAGTGCTTAAAAGTGTTGTGCCATTTCCTTCTGACATTTTTGGTTTTTGACCAAAATATGCTGTCATTTGAATTATTCTTTTAAAAATAATTCAGCATTTTCTCTGACTGCTTTCAGATTTTTCTTTAATTTTCAGCAATTTGATTTTGACAGGCCCTAAAGTGAATTTCATTAGGTTTATCTTATTTTAGGCTCACTGAGCTTTTTGAATTTGTCAGTTATATCTCTTGGCAAGTTGGGGAAACTTTCATCCATTGTTTCTTGCAGCATTTTTTTCTGCAAACTCTTTATTCCTCTCTTGGAACTCTAATGACATAAAAGCAAGGCCTTTGGCATTATTCCACAGGTCCCTGGGCTCACTTTATTTTTTTCAAAGAGGTTTTATTGAAGAAAGTTTAATCAATTTCTTATGTTGTTCAATACAGTTTATTTCTATGAATCCATCTTTAAGTTAACTAACTTTTCTCTCTCATCTTCATTCAATTTAGCCCATCTGACAAGTTTTCATTTAGATTTTATGTTTTTAGTTCTAAAATTATAGCTTCTCTTTGTTGACTTGGTCCTTCCATTTGTTTTAAGAATATCCATATGTTACTTTATTCTCTCTCATGGAAATTTCCCCCTTTGGAAAAGCTCCTGATACTTGGCCTATTTATTTTCCTTTTAACTCTTTCTCAGAGAGTCAGATGCAGAATACACAAAATAAAAATCTGGTTGTTTTTATTTGACAGAAACAGTGCAAGTGGGGGAGGGGCAGAGAGAGAATCCCAAGCAAGCACCACCCTCCCAACACAGAACCCAATTCAGGGCTCGAACCCATGAAGAAGCCGTGTGAGATCATGACCTGAACCGAAACCAAGAGTCAGACGCTTAACCAACTGAGCCACCCAGGTGCCCAAAACTCTGGTTACTTTAGATGAATGGTGATGTACTGTGTTCATATGGTCAGAATTATTTCTTTGGCTAATTTTTCTCATTTCCAGCTTGGAAAGACAGAGGAACATGGGGTTCAGAGATCTGGATATGCATGTTGCTTCTGCTAATTTCTAGCACTGTATTACTGACAAGTCTCACCACCTCTCTGAGCCATGTCTTCATGAGGGTTGAATGGATCTCTGAGTTGCTCTTGTGCTCTAGCATTCTAGGCTCTCTGTTTTGTGGGACATGGAAAGCAACATGTCCGTTTGTCCTCTGGTTATTTCACCCCTGCCCTTGTCGTCTTAGGACAATGGTGGAAGACTGTTTTATGATATTACAGTGAGCTTAAGAACTTTAAAAGTCTGGGGCGCCTGGGTGGTGCACTCGGTTAAGCATCCGACTTCAGCCAGGTCACGATCTCGCGGTCCGTGAGTTCGAGCCCCGAGTCGGGCTCTGGGCTGATGGCTCAGAGCCTGGAGCCTGTTTCCGATTCTGTGTCTCCCTCTCTCTCTGCCCCTCGCCCGTTCATGCTCTGTCTCTCTCTGTCCGAAAAATAAATAAACGTTGAAAAAAAAAAAAAACTTTAAAAGTCTTAGAAAACAAGATCACTCTTGACCAAATACCTACTGGAGGAAGCAAGATTTAGTCTTAGTGGGAGGTCGTACTTTCCATATGATGTACAGGTGGATGCTAACATCTCTTCTTTCCAATTATGGAAGTCTTCTCAGCATCTAATTGGAGCCCCTTCTTCCGAAGTTTTCCAAGTTCTGCCCAGCCTCTTTATTCCAGCCTTGTCAGGCCCTTTCTGGTCTGCCCTGGGATGCTCTGTCCTTACACTACTGCTTTCTTTCCTTTCCACAGCTACTTCAGCTCTCGGCTGCTGCTGTGGACAAAGGACGTAGTGTAGGTGAGGTCCTGCAGTCGGTGCTGCGCTACGAGAAGGAGCGACAGCTGGATGAGGCGGTGGGAAATGTTACACGGCTGCAGCTGCTGGACTGGCTGATGGTGAACCTGTGATCGGCGCCCACCCACTGCTTTCCCTTCTCCCCATCCCTTCTTACTTCCACAGCTCTCCTCTCCATATCCTTACAGAGCCCTATCATACCACTCACATCAAAGACACGTCATCTTATGCTAGTCACTGGATTTTGCAGATTTTCCCGTCCATGCAAGCAAGGACACAAAATTAAAAAGATTACAATGAAAGGACTCCAGGTGTTTGGTTTCCTTGGGATCCAATGGACAATAAGGTCAAGAAATTTCAGGAATTAAAAAATAATCAGATGGATAACAAGAAGAAAACTAGTGCTGGACTGAGAGGCCTGCTAAGGTGTTTCTATGTATCCTGTCTGTGCTACAACTTGCAGATCTCTGGCCTTAAAATGTTCCCTAAGAATAAGACTATTAAGCCATTATAATCATGCAAATCACAAAGTATCTTCTATTCAACCTGAATCATTCTCATTATGATATGGAGGACTTGGCTTCTTCTCCTATCTCTGTAGAACAATGGTCTTCCTCAATTTTATTCATAGTTGGTGTCAAAAAAGGCCCAGAAGACCTGAGTTCTATTGCCACGTCTATACTTTTCTGGCTATAGGACCTGGGACAAGTCACCTGTTAGGACATTTCTCCCACCTAAGGCATTTTCTGTTCTTACCCTCAACTTTCTGTGAAATTTTATATTTTTGATCTTGCTAGAAACTTTCTCCTTTGGTTCCTAATTTCTGTATTAATTCCATCTCTTGGGGGCTCTACTCAATTCTGTCAACCCCTGGAATATTTATCTTTCCTATTTCCTTTTGACCCTCTGCTATTCTCATTCTGTTTCACCTTTCCTGGGTAAAAGGTGTCTCCCTTCATGGAATATGACACAGTGATTAAAAGGAAAACTATAAAGTCAGGTATATTTTCTATGTTGTTTATGAGGTTATGATCTTAAGTTTCTTGTAAAATTGTATCTGTTCTATAATTACAATCATATAAAGATTATGTATTCATGTAGATAAGGACTAGTAAACCAAAAGAACTTGATTAGATTTTGAGGATGCTGGATGAATGAACATATCCTGTTGTTTACTCGACTTCCCTTCCTTTGGGAAATATTCTGTCCCCTACTCCACATTCCAAGAGAGGCATCAGTCACGGTGCTACCACCATCACAGTATAGGCTTGTGACCCAGGCTGGCCAACCACAGGATCCCAATATCTCAGACATAGTGCTTGGTTCAAATCCAAGAATTTCTGAGATTTTCCTGCCAGCACTGCATCTTTTGACTGGATAATGGTGGTTACTTTAACATCTTGGCAGAGCTTGTCTTTAGAATGAAAACCACAAAAAGAAGCAAAACTAATAGGTGATGAGGGAGTCTGAGCCCTATGACCTTGTCTGAACTTTTAGATTCTGCTGTGCCTGAAACTACACTTACTTACACCTCCTGATTCCCCAATTACATAAGCCAATAGATGTCCTTTGTTGCTTAAATTAGTTAATAGCTGAATTCAAACTAATTTTTCATTTTCATTTTCAAATAAGAGTCCTAACAGGTTAGCTGTCTTGTGGGGAAAAGAAAAAAAATTCTTTTATTTAGAGTTCTATTAGTGATACTATACCATTGAATACTTACCCCTCCCCCCCACCCCACACATACATTGTTTTATCTGGTTGAGGGCATAAGAAGGGAGTGTAGGTGCAAGGACATTCTCCCGCATCTCTCATAATAGGAATCATGCTTAACTAGCCATATGAATAAAGTTTTTTTAAAAAAAAAAACCTTTATGCATTAAAAAACAATCTCTGTAATATTGTACAATATAAGTGCTGTCTCTAATAAAAATCCTTGGTGGAAAGGAACAGGACACACCTTCAGCAAAGGTCATACAATAGGTGGTAAAATATTCGTGTTTTTGGATGAGGAGTTTTTACTTTGATGCCCTGGGGAGGTTTTGGACTCCTCTGGTCCAACAAATACCTCTGGCTTTCTGGAAGCTTCTGTTAGCTGAGGCAACTGGACAACTTCAGATGTGTGCTGGAGAATGCCCTGCTGATCACCTGAATTCTGAACCTGCTTAGCGGTGCCACCTTTTATTTTGTCTATGGTCTCTTCTTTGATGGTCACCTCTGCCAAAGGAGAGAGAAGACAGAAGGAACAAGTGTTCAAATGTGAATTATATTCTATTAGACCATAAATCACTTTGGGAAAATCCTGGTAGTAATGATATAAAAACAATTCATTTGTAAAGAGCATTCTCTGTGTCAGGCATTATTCTAAGCACTTTACATTTATTAATTTCTTTGAGCCTTTTCACAACCATAGAGAATAGGCATTATTCTCATTCTCATAAATGAAGAAACTGAGACACAGGGAAGTTAACTAAATTGCCCAAGGGCCTAGACCTGGTAAATGGTAGAACCAGAATTAATCCCAGGCAACCTGACCCCAGGGATGATGTACATAACCATGAGGCTATATTGCATATAAAAGATATCTGCATAATGCCATAATCAGTCTGATAAAAATTCAAAAGCTAATTATAGGCAAGCCAGAGGAGGACACAGTGAAAGAAAAGGAAAGGACAAGAAAAGAATTGAAGACAGAGAAAAATGGAAAATCCTAATGATAACAGGGCAAAAAGGGGGGCAAATCCAGCTAGAAGCAAGACTCCTGAAAGAGGTTATACTCAAAAGTGAGAAATGGCAGGCTCCTGGTGATGTAGTCAGAATAATTATCCAAGGTGGAGGTCAGAGAAATTGACATACAATCCTCCAGAGGTACCCGATCCCTGGACTATAGGAAGAGGACTGACTGTACCTTTTTTGCCCAAGGGATGATGCCCTTGAACCTTTTCCTTCCGAGCCTCAGAGGGGAAACAGAGACTGGGTTTCCTCAGGGTCTGGGGCCTGGACCGTGGTTTGAAATTCCGTGGCTCATGAATCCAAGCATGCTTGAGGGCCTGGTCAGGGGTCATGCGAAGAGAAGGTTCCCATCTATACACCAACAAAGCCCAGCATGGGTTATTGTTTTGCTTCCCTTTCTAATGTTGAAAATATTTAAAAAGACCCTGACAACCTCAATAAGGTATAATAAAAGTAGTTCGTTCTTAACCAATCTAAGCTGCGTTATACCTCAAAGATATCATAGATATCAAAGATATCAAAGATAACAACATATAAAGTACCTGGAAACAACTATGAAAATAATCTTTTTAAGAAATTTGCATGACAAACCAGGGAACATATGAGAGCCCAAATCTTCCAGAGTTCCTGGAAATTCCCTCAAAAGAAATATTATATTATAGAAAATCTTAACTGCTTGGGATTTAGGGTTCGGTAAACTAAGATCAAAACAAAGAGATGCTTAATTTCAATTCCCAAAACTTGGGACTTCAATTATATCACACAGAACATTATAGAATGCTAGAATATTAAGCTTATAAGGAGATTTGGGTATAATCTAGTCAAACTTCCAATGCAGTGACAAGGCATCTGACAGAAACTTCAACACAGAATCATCTTGCTATTCTTTTTTTTTTTTTTAGCTATAATATTCTTGTCTTTATTTTTTTAATATATGAAATTTATTGTCAAATTGGTTTCCATACAACACCCAGTGCTCATCCCAAAAGATGCCATCTTCAATGCCCTCACCTACCCTCCCCTCCCTCCCACCCCCCATCAACCCTCAGTTTGTTCTCAGTTTTTAAGAGTCTCTTATGCTTTGGCTCTCTCCCACTCTAACCTCTTTTTTTTTTCCTTCCCCTCCCCCATGGGTTTCTGTTAAGTTTCTCAGGATCCACATAAGAGTGAACACATATGGTATCTGTCTTTCTCTGTATGGCTTATTTCACTTAGCATCACACTCTCCAGTTCCATCCACATTGCTACAAAAGGCCATATTTCATTCTTTCTCATTGCCACGTAGTATTCCATTGTGTATATAAACCACAATTTCTTTATCCATTCATCAGTTGATGGACATTTAGGCTCTTTCCATAATTTGGCTATTGTTGAGAGTGCTGCTATAAACATTGGGGTACAAGTGCCCCTATGCATCAGTACTCCTGTATCCCTTGGGTAGATTCCTAGCAGTGCTACTGCTGGGTCATAGGGTAGGTCTATTTTTAATTTTCTGAGGAACCTCCACACTGTTTTCCAGAGTGGCTGCACCAGTTTGCATTCCCACCAACAGTGCAAGAGGGTTCCTGTTTCTCCACATCCTCTCCAGCATCTATAGTCTCCTGATTTGTTCATTTTGGCCACTCTGACTGGTGTGAGGTGATGTCTGAGTGTGGTTTTGATTTGTATTTCCCTGATGAGGAGTGACGTTGAGCATCTTTTCATGAGCCTGTTGGCCATCTGGATGCCTTCTTTAGAGAAGTGTCTATTCATGTTTTCTGCCCATTTCTTCACTGGATTATTTTTCGGGTGTGGAGTTTGATAAGCTCTTTATAGATTTTGGATACTAGCCCTTTGTCTGATATGTCATTTGCAAATATCTTTTCCCATTCCGTTGGTTGCCTTTTAGTTTTGTTGATTGTTTCCTTTGCAGTGCAGAAGCTTTTTATCTTCATGAGGTCCCAATAGTTCATTTTTGCTTTTAATTCCCTTGCCTTTGGGGATGTGTCAAGTAAGAAATTGCTGTGGCTGAAGTCAGAGAGGTCTTTTCCTGCTTTCTCCTCTAGGGTTTTGATGGTTTCCTGTCTCACATTCAGGTCCTTTATCCATTTTGAGTTTATTTTTGTGAATGGTGTAAGAAAGTGGTCTAGTTTCATTCTTCTGCATGTTGCTGTCCAGTTTTCCCAGCACCATATGCTAAAAAGACTGTCTTTTTTCCATTGGATATTCTTTCCTGCTTTGTCAAAGATTAGTTGGCCATACGTTTGTGGGTCTAGTTCTGGGGTTTCTATTCTATTCCATTGGTCTATGTGTCTGTTTTTGTGCCAATACCATGCTGTCTTGATGATTACAGCTTTGTAGTAGAGGCTAAAGTCTCTACTTTACCTCCTGCCTCCTGCTTTGGCCTTCTTCTTCAAAATTACTTTGGCTATTCAAGGCCTTTTGTGGTTCCATGTGAATTTTAGGATTGCTTGTTCTAGCTTCAAGAAGAATGCTGGTGCAATTTTGATTGGGATTGCATTGAATGTGTAGATAGCTTTGGGTAGTATTGACATTTTAACAATATTTATTCTTCCAACCCATGAGCACGGAATGTTTTTTCCACTTCTTTACATCTTCAATTTCCTTCATAAGCTTTCTATAGTTTTCAGCATACACATCTTTGGTTAGATTTATTCCTAGGTATTTTATGCTCTTGATGCAATTGTGAATGGGATCAATTTCTTTATTTGTCTTTGTTTCTTCATTATTAGTGTATAAGAATGCAACTGATTTCTGTACATTGATTTTGTATCCTGCAACTTTGCTGAATTCATGTATCAGTTCTAGCAGACTTTTGGTGGAGTCTATCAGATTTTCCATGTATAATATCATGTCATCTGCAAAAAGTGAAAGCTTGACTTCATCTTTGCCAATTTTGATGCCTTTGATTTCCTTTTGTTGTCTGATTGCTGATGCTAGAACTTCCAACACTATGTTAAACAACAGTGATGAGAGTGGACATCCCTGTCTTGTTCCTGATCTTAGGGAAAAAGCTCTCAGTTTTTTACCAGTGAGGATGATGTTAGCTGTGGGCTTTTCATAAATGGCTTTGATGATCTTTAAGTATGTTCCTTCTATCCCGACTTTCTCAAGGGTTTTTATTAAGAAAGGATACTGAATTTTGTCAAATGCTTTTTTTGCATCAATTGACAGGATCATATGGTTCTTCTCTTTTCTTTTATTAATGTGATGTATCACGTTGATTGATTTGTGAATGTTGAACCAGCCCTGCATCCCAGGAATGAATCCCACTTGATCATGGTGAATAATTCTTTTTATATGCTGTTGAATTCGATTTGCTAGTATCTTATTGAGAATTTTTGCATCCATATTCATCAGGGATATTGGCCTGTAGTTCTCTTTTTTTACTGGGTCTCTGTCTGGTTTAGGGATCAAAATAATACTGCCTTCATAGAATGAGTCTGGAAGTTTTCCTTCCCTTTCTATTGTTTGGAATAGCTTGAGAAGGATAGGTATTATCTCTGCTTTAAACATCTGGTAGAACTCTCCTGGGAAGCCATCTGGTCCTGGACTCTTATTTGTTTGGATATTTTTGATAACTGATTCAATTTATTCGCTGGTTATGGGTTCATCTTGCTATTCTTGAGTATTTTTAGTGACAAGGCACTTACTCACATAATTAGCTATTCCAGTATTGATAAAACTAATTCTTTAAAAATTCTTCATTTTAATTGAGCCTAAATTTACACTTCCCAGGAACTTGCACACTAATAACAGACCCAGGTTCTAATTCTACCTACTAACATTACAGTAGTCCCCCCCTTCTCCATAGGGTAATACATTCCACCCCCAATGGATGCGTGAAACTGGACAGCACAAACATCTGTATATACTATGTGTTTTCTTATATACATACCTATGATAAAACTTAATTTATAAATTAGGCACAGTAAGAGATTCACAACAATAACTAATAATAAAATAGATTAAGTATAATAATATACTATAAGAAAAATTATGTGAATGTGGTCTCTTCCTCTCAAAACATCTTCTAGTGTCATACTCACCCTTCTTATGATGTGAGATGATAAAATGCATATGTGATGGGATTAAGTGAGGTGAATGACACAGGCAGTGTGATGTAGTGCTAGGCTACCAATGACCTTCTGACGAGATGTCAGAAGGAGGATCATCTGCTTCTGGACCACGGTAGACTGTGAGTAACTGAAACCACGGAAAGTGAAACCGCGGGTTAGGGGGGGCCACTGTATAGAGAATGGGACAACCCACCTGTATTTTATGGTACAATCCTCCAACTATCCAAAAACACTTACATTGCTACTAAGTGTTGCTCATATGATATGGTTGCCACCTTCCTGCACAGGAGATTCCAGCTATTGTCTTACTGGTGTCCACCATGCTGGGGATAGCTTTTAACTGCAGGTAGATGGCATTAATATTGTAGACTCATCAAGCTCATAAACAACTCAATCTCCCAGTTCTTTTTCAAATGAACTGCTGTTAAGCTACAACTCCCCACAGGACTTTACATTTACCTCTCTTAAATTTGACTCAAAACTTCTAGTCTCTCATTCCAAAAATTTGCTAATTAGTAAAAAGAAGAAGAAGAAGGGAAAGAAAAAGGAATGCTCAGATAATGGGCCCATTAGAGTGACTGCTTCTTGCAAGTTGTGAACAGCCAGCCCTTTGCTCTAAAAAAGAAAATAATTTTTCTTGGTTCTGAGCTGTGTTCTGGATGGCTGGGGTTTATGGATAATTCACCTCAGTCTCAGTAGTGAGTTTTTGTCATTTGTTAAATCACATTCATTTTATAGCCTCAGCAAGAAGCTGGCAGTGGGTGGTGACATGGAGATAATGATGGAGTACAGGATCCTTCTCTATCTCCATTCTACAGATGAGTAGCATGACCCCCAACCTTCAGAAGTACTTGACGGCTTATCCACTGAGCTAGTGCACAAATGCCAGAAGAGTATTTTGCTAAAACTACTCCATCCCACTGGAAGAATGAGAGGCCATAAACCTATGGTCTCTAAAAATGCTAAACACTTATAGGACTGATATAACTAGAAGGCACCTTAGGAATACCCGTATTATACAGAAAAGGAAACTGAAGCCCACAGAGAGACAATGACTTATCAAATATCATGCAGCTAATCTATTTGCCATTCAGTGGAAACACACTTGCAAAACTTCTTTTAAAATAATGACAAGAGCTAACATGTTCTAAACACCTTCTAAATTAGGCACTGCTCTGAGTGCTTTTTTTACTGGTCTTTTTTTCACTGTGACTTGACTGAAGTACAGAACCTAATTTCTCAGAGTCAAAATAAGCATATAAGCTTTTTTGTAAAAGCTGTACAAAACAAATGGTTTATAGATAACCCCTTCCCTATTTCCTCAATACAAAGAGGATTTAGGCTTTATTTCCTAGGGAACTAGGGAGGGAACCAGAGACATACACTGGGTATGTATGTAAACAGTTACAACATAGAGGAAGTTGACTTCAGTTCATGAAGCAAAAGCTATTCAGAACTTGCCTACACCTTGCTGCCTGGCAGTTTGAGGCCAAGAAGGCAAGTTCTACCCACACACTGTAATCCAGGGCAAGTCACTGTTTGAGCCTCAGACTCCACATCTCAAAATTAAGCAAATCATCCACTTGCTAATCACACAGGAAGGGAAGAGAGCAGTCTGATGAGGGAAAGCATTATATAGACTTCAAGCTCTATGGTCAGTATTTACTATTATTTTTATAACTGTGTCCCAGTCCCAGACTTTCACCAGCAAATGAGTGGGAAAGTACAGTGTTTAAGAGGACACCTAGAGGCAAAGACACCATGACAAACTCACACCAAACATCTTCTGAGAAAGTCCAGGAAGCTGGCATCGTAGGTTTTCAGCACCATCGTGAGATCCTTGGAATCTGGGTATCTTTTTCTCCCCCTGTTGTTGGTCATATTTTTAGGAAAACCTTTGGAATCTTTGGAGATACAACATTCTGTGTTTAGTTCCAGGTGTTAATATCCATTGGTCACATCACAGCTTTTTACTCAACCATGCTGCTTCTTGGAATGGTCTTTGCAGCTCTATCTCAGTCCTATACCATACCCCTCCCATACACACGAACATGCCCTCAGTCTCAGTCAGACAGAAAGAACCACATGTAGATTATCCAGTGAATGCAATTAACCTTTACAAACAATACTCCCTACTATCCAGTATGTTCTGAGCCTCCTTCCTGCCTCCTCCTCCCCAAATCAAATGACTTAAATGGTTTAACATTAACCAAGGTAAAATAATAATGATAATGATAATACAATAATAATAAATCTAAAGTGACAAAAACATCAGCTCTGAACAGAAAAAGATGTTGTCTATTCTTGGATTTTCTATGCCCTCTCTCCTTTCTCACTAGCCCAATAAAATGAGAATTTGGGATATGCCTAAAGTATAACAAGAAAGTTATTGTAGGAGAATCATCTGCTTTCAGAACTCATTTACAAGCCACACAAGCAAATAAATCGCATTACTTTCTATAGTCACATCAAAATTTTGTCCATAAATTGGAATCACCAAACTTGGTTTGTTGCTTAAGACACAGTCTGGAAGTCTCTTTTCTTCAGTCATTTTTCACTGATTAAAACCCTTACCAAAGGTATTTGTCATGCCTGAAAAGAAGCCCTGAAGACATCTCCAGAGGTTTCCCTAAAATGCTCTGTGCAGTGCTTTGAAGGTGAGGCCACTCATCTGGATATCTATACTCTGGTGTGCATGTTCAGAAAAGACCACTTTTGCTCATACCTTGTAAATCTGCATAAGGATGGACATGAACAGATACATACACTTTGCATACTAAACTGAACTCTCACAAAAACTCAGTGGGGTTCACATGATGGGCATTCTGGAAGGTGTATAGTGAAGCCCTTCTATTACTTTTGTAATCAATACAATTTGTGGGTCCTCAAAAAGAACATCTGCTCATACTGAATTCCTAGAAGAAACCACAAATGTGTATATACACATACATGGGCATGTGTATCTACAGACATAAAAATAAATTGGGGACATTGCACAGGGTATATAGGTCTTGTGAACTCATATAAACCCCATTTCCTTTGTTCAAACCCCATTTCCTTTTTTACTGTGGCACTAGTACTCCCATTTGATCTTATATTTCTCTTTTTACAAATGACCGAAGAATCAGGCTCACAGGCTTATAAAAATAACAGCTCATGAAGTTGTCAGTATGTAATTGTTTTTCTTGTTCAAGTTTTTCTCATTGCTCTGACACTCCCCAATATTTAATTATTATCTCCATCTCCTTTTTGCAGCCTGGAGCATCTAAGTAGCTTACTACCCTTGAGGCAACATCACTTTCTGCTAATCAAACATATAAACTACAAGTTGCTGGGGTTTGAGGAGCTTTTGGCAGCCCAAATATGGGCAAGGGAGAGCCAAGAATTGAGGTGAACATATTGTTTCTCCAACTTACTTTATCATAAGAATCACAAAGAGCTGTTGTTAGAAACTGACTCTTGAGTTCCACCTCAAATCTGCTATATCATAGGTTATATCGGAAGATAATGGGAATTAGCATTTTTGCCAAGTTCCTAACTGATTCTTTTCTTTTTTAAGTTTATTTTTAGGGTGTAAGGGGACACAGAGAGAGAGGGAAGAGAGAATCCCAAGCAGACCCCATGCTGTCAGCACAGTGCCCCATGTGGGGCTCAATCTCATGAACCATGAGATCATGATCTGAGCAGAAATCAAGAGTCAGATGCTCAACGGACTGAGCCACCCAGGCTCTCCTCTCCAGCTCTGATTCTTATAATCAGATAAAGTTCGGGAAACACTGAAGAGGATGCAGCTCCCAATAAAGCCTTTTCTTATGCAGGAAGTGAAGATCTGTGGATGTTGCCACCAAAAACACATCATTATTTTAAAGCCTCAATGCTGATGGTAAAAATCAGTACTCTATGAACCAGACACTCTTACCATGCCTTATATTACTTTCCTTTTAGTGCCCCCCACTATAATTTTGACTTCAGGGAACACCACTATCCCTACTTTTCTTTCCCTAAATACTTTGAAATCCAAAAGGCTGAATTAAATATGGTGGATAGGAAAAATATATTTGGGGTTAAAAGACCAATTCCATTGCTCTATGTATAAGTTATACAAACAAGCCAGCCAGATCTTCCTACCTAGCCATCAGACTGCTCTAGAAGAAGTGTTAGTGCATGGGCACTGTTCTAAAGCAACCAGGACACTGATCATGCCCAAAGGGAAGGTCTTCAAAGCTCTGACTACAAGGTGACATCTCAACGATTTAACCATTGGAGTGGCATGGGACTGACCGATCAGAAAGGATGACATCTTTGGCACTGAAACAAGATCATGAGGTCTGCTTGCCAGGCCTTAAAATGTTAGTTTCTGGATCACAGAGTCCAATGAGTCCTGGAAAAGAGGCCAGGGAGCCTGCAGCTGTGGCAGTGGTTTTTTACCAAATTGTTCAGATGGAGGCTACATTTTAACCCCCCACATGATTGAACCAGTGTATATGACTCATCACTAACATGACTAAAACATTTTAGTCCAGAAGGATCCCCCATTAGGGTATCTTTAACTCTTTTGTTGATGGGGCAAGTTAAAGAAAGTAGAGGATTCCCCCCCAAATTTTGGGGGGCCCTCTTGGGTGGAAATAAGATGTGAGATGGCTAAGAGTGATGGAGATTCCACAGCCAATATAAGCCTGTAAATTGACCTGACAAGAATGGCTCATCAGAAATGTCATTCCAGATGGCGCAGAGCCCCTAATTGTGGAGTCCCTTTTCCCTCACATCTGGCTTCGTTCCATGTGGCTGAACTTCCATTTCACTATGGCTTTTTTTTTTTTTTCATAAGAATCCCTTAGGTTCTTGTGATTCTTTAAAAGGATTTTAGATATGGGACTGAGTTCATCTTTGTGGTACATAGTGCCCTGGAAACCCTGCCTCAGTTGGACCTGAGGTAGATCATTGATCTACCTGTCCACATTGTACAGCACCAATCAAATAGAAAGGCAGAGGGTCAGAAAATCCAGAGCCTGGAAACAGCATGGGGCCATCGATGAGGCTTAATTCCAACAATTAGGCAGATGTCCTCCACATAACTGGCAAGCCACAACATACCTACAGCCAAACTGTTCTGACAACCTTTATTTACCCATTTCATAGCCAAGTTTCAATGATCTTGGCATAGTAAAGATATGGGGATTTAAGAGAATTTCAGCAGGAAAGAAATGCTCCATTATTTATATAACAAAGAAATTTCCCACTCTTCTGGAAAAGAAGCTTCTGCTCTTTGATTTCCCTGAACAGTACATAGTGTGAAAGGGGAAACTGCTTGCAGACATAAGGAGAATTTACAGGAGATGACATAATTATAATATTTCAAGTTTTCAAGATCTGCTGATAGATTTTCTGAACAGGAACCTGGTTATTTTTATGCCAAGACCTCCTTTGCAATGTGACTGCCCCATCCTATCTCCATCATGCTTTCTGGTACCACTTCTCAGCATCTTTTTACTTTTCTAACAGAAACTCCCAATCACAGCTTGCCCTTTGGGATGGAGCCATGGGAAGAGAACTAAATGGGGTTTAGAGTATGGAAGATATCTTCAAGGTCTGTAAAAGCTCATCATCACAATGGGAGAAAGAGATTTAGACCTGGGGACTTACCAAAAAATGTCTGTCTCCTGGAGGCTGTCTGAATGAAGTGGGTTGGCGGCAGGCCCAGCACCTTCAACAAATACAATGCAGTGGGTTCACTCTTGTGGACTCACACATTAGAGCTGGTGGGACTTTGGCCAAACTTTGCTTCTACAGACAAGGACCCGAGGATATTAAGTGATAACCTCAAGTCAGTGGCAAAAAGGCCCAGAGCATGGATCTTCTGACTCCTAATTTAGGGCTGTTTCAGTATCCTGAGGATCAATATTAGCCATGTTATTCTAAATAAGCATTAGCACCAACTAGAGGTAGGCCACTCTAGATGGCAGCCAGATCTCATTGTCAGAATAAATAAACCAGTGTACATGCTAGCCACCCTTGAATTAAGGAATGACCTCCCTGGGAAGGGAGGAGGAGAAAAGGAGGTAGAAATCACCAGATGGGCATCAGTCTACTATTTGACAAAATATCTTCTTGAAAAGAAAAGTGTAAACGTTATTATTACCTAAATTATTTTTTAATGTTTATTAATTTTGAAAGAGAGAGAGATAGAGAACGACCAGGAGAGGGGCAGAGACAGAGGGAGAGAGAGAGAGTCCCAAGCAGGCTCCACACTGTCAGCACAGACACCAATGTAGGGCTTGAACTCACAAACTATGAGATCATGACTTGAGCCGAAATCAAGAGTCGAACACTTAACTGACTGAGCCATCCAAGTGCCCCAATTACCTAAATTATTTTAATACTTATTATTTTCAATCATGAACTGAAACTATGTTTACTAATTCTCAGTGTGTGTGTATCCCTCTGAGCACCTATAACTTTGAGGCAATCTAGAAAATAGAATTTTTGGATTAATGGGTGGACAGACAGATAATTAAATAGAGTAACATAAATATATACATGGAGAGAGAAAGAGAGAGAGAGAGAGAGAGAGAGAGAGAGAGAGAGAGAGAGAACAGAGACAGAAAAAACAAACAGGGAAATTAGATAGATCTTTGTTCACAGTCAAAATATCTTTGTTTACTGATATAATAGTAAAATGTGAAATTTCCATTTTTTAGGGTTATTTTCTCCTGTTTTATCTTCCATAACAAGAATACTTTAAGAAAAATATATGATAAATAATATACAATGAGCCTTAGTAAAGCCTTCTTATTGGAAGATATTCTTCCCAGAAAGTTAGGATAATGAATGACTAATGACTGAACAATATATAGATTTGGATAGGTGTCATCTTTGGTTTTTAGATTCTTCCGAGCATATTTGAAAGGCTGATATAACAGTTTAATTTTAAAATGTCACTATTCTAGCTGAAAGAGAAATTAAGAAAACAGTTGCAATTACAATTGCACCAAAAATAATAAAATACCTAGGAATAAACTTAACCAAGGAGGTGGAAGGCCTGTACTCTAAAAACTATAAAACATTGATGAAAGAAATTGAAGATGACACAAAAAAGATATTCCATGTTCATGGATAGGGAGAATAAATATTGTTAAAATGTCCATACTACCCAAAGCAATGTACAGAATGTAATTCCTATCAAAACACCAACAGCATTTTTCACAGAATTAGAACAAATAATCCTAAAATTTGTATGGAACTCACAGAAGACCCTGAATAGCCAAAGCAATCTTGAAAAAGCAGAATGAACCTGGAGGTATCACAATCCCAGATTTCAAGATATACTACAAAACTGTAGTAATCAAAACAGTATGGTATAGGCACAAACATAGACACATGGATCAATAGAACCAAATAGAAAGCCCAGAGGTAAATCCACAACTATATGATCAATTAGTCTTTGAGAAAGTAGGAAAGAATATGTAATGAGAAAAAGTCATTTCAACAAATGGAATCGGGAAAACTGGACAGCAACATACAAAAGAATGAGACTGGACCACTTTCTTACACCATACACAAAAATAAACTCAAAATGGATAAAAGACCTAAATGGGAGACCTATAACCATAAAAATCCTAGAAGAGAGCACAGGCAATAATTTCTCTGACATCAGCTATAGCAACATTTTTCTAGATATGTCTCCTGAGGCAAGGGAAACAAAAGCAAACATAAAATATTGGGACTACAACAACTAAAAAATAATGTACTGAATGGGAAAAGATATTTGCAAATGACATATCTGATAAAGAGTTAGTATCCAAAAATATATAAAAAATGTTTACAACTCAACCCCCAAAAACTAAATAATCCAATTAAAAATGGGCAGAAGACATGAACAGACATTTCAACAAAGAAGACCTATAGGTGGCCAACAGACACATGAAAAGATGCTCAACATCACTTATCATCAAGTAAATGCAAATCAAAACCACAATGAGATATCACCCATACTTGTTAGAATGGCTAAAATGAAAAACTCAAGGAACAATAGGTGTGGACAAGGATGTTGAGAAAAAGGAACCACCATGCCCTATTGGTGGGAATGTAAGCTGGTGGAGCCACTGTGGAAAACAGTTTGAAGATTCCCCAAAACATTAACAATAGAATTACCACAGATCCAGTATTTCCACTACTGGGTACTTACCCAAAGAATACAAAGATACTAATTCAAAGGGATACATGCACCCCTTTGATGATTATTGCAGCATTATTTACAACAGCCAAATTATGGAAGCAGCCCAAGTGTCCATCAATAGATGAATGGATAAAGATGTGAGATATATACATATATATATATATATATGTGTGTGTGTGTGTGTGTGTGTGTGTGTGTATAATGGAATATTATTCAGCCATAAAAAGAATGAAATCTTGACATTTGCAACAACATAGATGGAGCTAGAGAGTATAATGCTAAGTGAAATAAATTAGAGAAAGACAAATACCATATGATTTCACTTATTTTCGGAATTTAAAAATCAAAACAAATCAACAAAGAAAGTAGAGACAAAACAAAAACAAAAAACAAAAACAGACTCTTAACTATAGAGGATAAATTGATGGCTACCAGAGGGGAGGTGGGAAGGGGAATGGATGAAATAGGTGAAGGGGATTAAGAATACACTTATCATGGTGAACACTAAGAAATATGTTGAATCACTACATTGTATACCTGTAACTAATATAGCACTGTATGTTAATTATACTGGAATTTAAAAAAGTGTTAATGATAAATAAATAAATAAATAAATAAATAAATAAATAAATAAATAAATAAAATGTCACTATTCACAATATGCTGGAAATTTCATCCTCTGCAACTATTTAAATTTATGATAAAAATGCTAGGTGTCAACTCAAAAATGTACAGAGGGGCACGTAATTCCAAAAATATTTTAGAGAACATGCAACAGCAATAGGAAGTATTCAGGCCACTGCCCTACAGCGAGTCTGATGCAGCCCCATGTTTCAGAGTGTAAGCTGACCACCCTGTGGGACCTCAGTCCTCCTCCTCACCTCCATGATGCAGGCTAGCTGCTCTACTTCATTCTCCCCAGGAAACAGAGGGTAGCCCGTGTACAACTCAGCCATTATGCAGCCCAGGCTCCACATATCAATGGCCATGTTGTAGGGATGGCCTAGAATCACTTCTGGGGATCTGTAGAACCGGCTTTGGATATAGGTATATACTGTGAGGAAAGAAAGAGAGCCACTATGTAAAATCCTCCTCTACAAAACACGCTCCTCCAGGGCACCTTCTCATGTGAGGGCGCAGGATAACTAACACTCCCTACCACTTTTCACTCTCTCAGCTTGGCAGGGAGATGGAAGGACAGCCAACCAGCACATCTGAGTCACACTGCATATTTAATCTCATCTCTCAAAATAAATAAATAAACTTAAAATTAATATAAAGCTAAATTTTCAACTATCATGTGAATTTGGGGTAGAAACTTTCTTTTTTTTATTTTTAAAAAATGTTTATTTATTTTTGAGACAGAGAGAGACAGAGCATGAGCGGAGGAGGGGAGAGAGAGAGGGAGACACAGAATCCGAAGGAGGCTCCAGGCTCTGAGTTGCCAGCACAAAGCCCGACGTGGGGCTCAAACCCATGAATTGTGAGATCATGACCTGAGCTGAAGTTGGACACCCAATCGACTGAGCCACCCAGGTGCCCCTGGGGTAGAAACTTTCTGAAAGTATTGTGATTTGGCAAGGGAAGAGGCATATTAAAATGGAAAAAGAAATACAAAATGCAGACTCTTCTAATGTGTATTGAATATATTATGTGCATTGCATAAAGTATAGAAGGAAGACCCCAACAAAATCTGAGCAAATGAAGCCAGCAGAAGAAGACAGTACTGTGGGAAGCCTAGATTTTACAGTGGTAGGAGAAATGGGACGTTATAGTGATTTCCACATGCTGTTATAGGGGCGGGACAGGGATTCTGCAGTCACTTCTCTGTTGTTTGCATTGGTTAGAGAAAACAGGTAATAATTTTGTGATTTAAAATACAATAAAGATAGGGGTGCCTGGGTGGCTCAGTTGGTTAAGCATCCAACTCTTGGTTTCAGCTCAGGTCATGATCTCATAGTTCGTGGGTTTGAGCCCCACATCAGGCTCTGTGCTGACAGTGCAGAGCCTGCTTGGGATTCTCTGTCTCCCTTTCTCTGTGCCCCTCCATTTGTGCTCGCTCTCTCTCTCTCTCTCTCTCTCTCTCTCAAAAATAAGTAAATAGCCATTAAAAAATAAATAAACAAAATAAATACATAATAAAAGTGACTTTTATACTCTGCCTGCTTCCAAAATGGATTTGATGTAATTTGCAATCAAAGTACATATACGCACAGCATAGTTCTTTAAAAATTGATTTAATGAACAGTTATATAATCCTTAACATGTGCCAGGCACTATTCCAAGTGCTTTATACAGAGAACCCTTTCAGTCCTTACAACAACCCTATGAAGCAGGTACTATTATTGTTCCCATCTAAAAATGAGAAAACTGAGGCATACAAAGATTCAAGAAATAATTAGAGTCAGTAACCTGTAAGTGGTAGAGCTGGGATTTGAGCTCGGGATGTTTGAGTCTATACTGGCTAAAATAAAGATAAAAGGAAGTCAGAAAATATGTAAAGGGGAAATGACTATCTGAAATAAGGATAGGATCATTATAAATTTCATTTGGAGCATCCTGGCAGCCAAGACAAGAGGTTGCATGCTTTTGTAGCTGAGAAGAGTAAGCAGATGAGTGCTTTGTGGGAGGCATATTGTTTTTTAGCTGGAATTTCTTTGGGGTTCCATACATAAATTGTAAAGAACATGTGTCTTCAAAAGTAGTGCTGCAAAATATTTGGAAACAGCCATCTTTCAGGGGTTTTTTTCAGCCTCTGATGAAGAGGGTCCTCTGATATCCCCTGCCACCATGAAAGCTGGTCCCAAAGTCCCTCTTTGGTGGGCCCTTAACCCAGTCTGTACATATTTGTAATCACTGCACCTGTCATATTACCTGTATCTTTGTTTCTTCCGTTGAACTGTAAGCAAGCAGAGCACAGAACATGTTGGGTTTATTTTGTTGTTCCTGTGTCCAGAACAGTAACAGACACATAGAAGATACTCTAAGTGTTTGTTAAATGGTACATGTTCTTGCCATCAAATTTGATAAAAGTCAAAAGAAGAGACACTTAAATCAAGTTCAGTGAAGTTTATGCAAATGTGCTCCAGGGATGCTTTCTGGATTCTAACCTGGAAAATATATAGTCTACAGAGCCTAGGGCAGTGAATCCCAAACCTCAGAATGGCTGTGTACTCTAAAATGCAGACCCCTGGGTGTTCCCCCAGAAACTTAGGTTCGGTGCATCTGAGGTGAGGCCCTGGGAGCTGTAATTTTTTAGAGGCCTCAAGTGATTCAGATATACATCTGGTTAGTTTGGGGACCCAAGGCACTAGGATAATTCCAGATTCACAGAATCTGAGTGCTGCAAAGGACCCTTACGGTATTTGAGTCCGATCTTCTCATTTTGTATATCAGGAAACTTAGAGAAGTGAAGCACCTTATCCAAAATCATTCTTGCAATTGTTGTGACTGAGCCCAGACTAGAGCCTAGGTGACCTCGCATGGGAAGTACTGTTTCAGTAAGGGAAAGAACTCACATTAGAAAAATTCAGACAAAGGGGCCAGAATGGGCTTACCTTTCTGGTGTTCATAACAACTTGATCCAAAGTCAATGACCTTAACAGAGACTTGGCCCTTTTGGTATAACACTATATTCTCCTAGAGAGAAGAAGAAAGACATAGTTAGGTTTTAAAAACGTTGCTCTACACACTCTGTTTACCTGAATGCCTGCCATCTTCTGGGACCCAGTTCAAAATGTGACCACCTCCAAGTGGGCCTCCTCCCATGCCTTCTCCAAACACCATGTTCTCCGTATTCCTCTGACTTCCTATTCAATTTGTGGTCTGCACCTCTTGTTTGGACTCAGTATTTGCTGCTTTGAAGTATTTCTTTTGCATAGATTTTGTCTCTTTCTGCATATAGAATGTGTAATTCCTGAACACTGTGGTTTATTTTTCTCTCCTTGGCACCTGGTTCTATCCCTTGCTTGCATAAGGTCTTAGAAATATCACTGACAATTTAATGTTTCCATTAAGTGCTCCACCAACATACTGATATGTCAGTAATGGACAAAAAAAAAGGGCAATAATTTAATTCGAGTTGTGATTCTTTTGCTAACTTCGGGGGCAATGTGAAACCAACATCCCAGGATAGTCATGGTTAAGCAGAGCTCATGGACTCTTAGAACATGAGGATGTACTTAGAACATGAGGCTAGAAGATTAAAGTCCCAGTCATGGCTTCATGGCTCTCAATATCAGATGGATTGATGATTATGAATATCAGATTAATTGCTTGCTTACTGAGTTCCTTAACTTTATTGATATGGCATAGCAGGCTTGGTCTAAAGCCTCTGGCACCACAAATTAAGAAAGTACAAACTTAGTCCATAATATCTTTTCTAGACAATATCTATATAACTTGAAGAATTCAATCAGCAAGTGTTTAAGAAGCAGACATTTCCAGTGTGTCTGCATCCCAATGGAAAGTCTCCTTAACTAAATGGGGCAGGCCTTCCTACCATATTGACAGAAACAGCTCTATATAAGGGATGGATGCATCACAGGTCATTGAAACTAACCTTTGAGTACATAAGAATTAACTCCCTGATTCTTGATCTACACACACCAAGCACTCTCCTGGTTGCATGTGTACTTTTCTACTGGGCACATATATTCTAGGTTACTATTTCTCAAGTAAACCTATTATGTCATGTCAATTTCGTTAGTAAGCCTCAGTACCCTAAGCCCAAAGACCATGGATGTTGTAACCCTTTGAAGCTGCAAAGCTTGAATATGGAGAATAAATCAATGTATCACTATCCTGTGAGACTCCACCAGTAAACCCTGAAAGAACAACCCTATCTTGTCAATATTTAATTTTAAAAATATCTCACATTTACCTGATGAGTTTCTCCAAAGAGTTAAAGATAGAACTGCTTTATGATCCACTAATTGCACTACTGTGTATTTACCCCCAAAATACAAAAACACTAATTCAAAGGGATACATGCACCCCTATGTTTATAGCAGCATCATTCACAACAGTCAAATTATGGAAGCTGAGTGGATAAAGAAGATGTGTATATATAAGCAATACAATATTATTGAGCTATAAAAAGGAATGAAATCTTGCCATTTGCAACAACATAGATGGAACTAGAAAGTAAAATGCTAAGTGAAATAAGTCAGTTAGAGAAAGACATATATCATATGATTTCACTCATATGTGGAATTTACGAAACAAAACCAATGAGCAAAGGGAAAGGAGAGAGAGAGAGAGAGAGAGAGAGAGAGAGAGAAACCAAGAAACAGGCTGTTAACTATAGAGAACATACTGAAGGTTACCAGAGAGGAGGTGGAGGGGGATGGGTGAAATAGGGGATGGGGATTAAAGAGCACAATTATCATGATAAGCACTGAGTAATATATAGAATTGTTGAATCAATACATTGTATATTTGAAACTAATATACCACTGTATGTTAACTATACTGGAATTAAAATTAAAAACTCAAAAATTTTTGGGGTGGGTGAGGAGAAGGGAATGAGGAAAAGTTAAGGGATATTTAAATATTTGTGAGGGTCATGCTGTTTCTGGAACCAGTTCCTGACCCCACATTTTCACACTCTTATACCTTTCCCCTAGCTACCTGTACTCCTCCAGTTTGCAATCATTAATTCTTCTAACAAGCATTAATGTGTTGCCTACCATTATTATTGTCAGGTACCATGTCAGAGCCTGGGAATAAAATGGTGAGAAGACATGGTCCCTGACCTTGGGGGAGCTTGCAGTCAGTGGAAGATAAAGAAACCATTCCTACATAGCAACCAGTGCAATAGTAGAGCTAAGTACAGAATACCAGCAGGACCTGTGAGAAGGGCACATCCTTTTGGAACGGAGGAAGTGGTCAGAGATTTGCTGTACCCTTAAGACCACTTCAGACTAGAAGGGACAGAGTCAGGATTTAGTACAGCAGTGCTCCATCTCTCTGCATAAACATCTCTGTACACCCTTAAGCCTTTCATAGGAAAGCCCTCAGACCTTCCTGTTCCTTCCTGTCTCAGTGATGCCACATCTCTCTGCATTGCCTTGATACCTGTCCCTTAATCTTTACTGCATCATTCTTGGTTTACATAATGTATAAACATAACTACTTGGCTTCCACCCTGAAACCTTGGCCAAACAACTTCCCAGTTTCCACTGGAGAATAGAACAGGGAAGTTTCTGAGGGTGGGAAACAGCTCCCTCGACAGGACAGAGCTTGTACTCACAGGCTTGAGATCACAGTGAATGATTTTCTCTACATAAAGCATTTGCAAACACTTCAAAACAGAGAGGGTGAAGCGCCGAACTATTGACAGACTGAAGCCTTGAAAGCTATTATTCTTCATCAGCTCATACAAGTTGATTCTGGAAAAGAGAGAGAGTGATGTGTATGTATCAGTGCAAAAGGTATAATACTTACTTTGAACCCGCAAACCATCCCATATCACTTGATTTCCCTCTGGTAGTAGGCAAGTCTCAGACCAGGAGGCAAGACTTTTGTGTCGTATAACCTCAATTTTCCCTTTGATTCATGGTGGATCCAATGTGAAGCCCAACTGTGCTGGCCTCTCTGATGTCCCCTTGTTTCTTATGTGGCAAGATCATTAAACCACTTTGTTACACATGTGGGTGTTAAAAGGTTGGACCAAACTTCTGAAATATTCATAGCTTCTTAGGCCCTTGGAAGGGATCTAGAAAGTCCAACACCCAACAAAGTGGCCACTCCTGCCCCAAATTGACAAGGCTATCTAAAGACATCAGGTTCCTGACAAGTAAGGGTAAAAGAGAGTGGGCAGATGGGGGCTGAGGCAAAATGGAGAAGCCCGACCCCATCTAAAGTGAGCCTGGCTGCTTGGTCCCATCTGACAGGGTTTAGTCTTGCTAGATTACCCTAAAGTTTTTAGACAGGCAGAAGCCTGCACTACTGTATCGAAGTCTGCTCTATTATATGAAATATGCTGACTTACAAATGTTGGAAACAAATGCAAAGCATTTTAACAAGAAAAGCGTATCCACGGGCTGCTAGTTTGTGACTCTGCAAACCTCAGTGATTTGGGGAGAGGTGGGAAAGAAAGGGCATGATCCAGAAACAACTCTGCATCAACTTCTTCCTAGTTTCCAATCTTCCATTCCTAAGCCTTCTCTAACACTGGCAGGATTTAGGAAGCTGTTCATTCTTGAGGGGTACAGAGAAGATGTGAAGCTCCAGCCTCATCCTGACTGGCTGTGTGACCCTGGGAAACTCCCAGCCCCTTTGGTCTTTGGATTCTCCCTCTGCACACCTGCCCCTCCCGACCTCTCAGGGCTCTTTTAAGAACAATGGCATCTAACTGTGTACTGTGCCTTTCTAGGCAGCCTGGCTTGTCCATTTTGACGCATGGAAGATAACTCATCTCTGCCTACTGGAAAGCAGAGCACATTCTGCACTCATCAGAGATGGTGAGAAGGGTGTCATCCTTCCTTCTGACTCAAATTTAGCTGGTTCCCAGAATTTCACTGACAGCAATGGTGTCCTGGGAGCCCCAGGCTACCAGCTCAGTGAATCCCATAACACTGGGCCTCTGAGAGCCTACCCCAATTATCCCCCTTTGCTAAATGCACTCTGGGTTTCTGATTTTGTTCAGATTGTGAAATACGGTCTTCTCAGAGAGAAAAGTAATCAAACTAGCATGCCCTTCCAATTAGCACACCCTTCCAGTTCCAATATTCAGCAAGGTGATGCCAGTCTATTTCAGTCAGATTCTGTTCCCTGCCCCAAAATATCTGCTCGTATCCTTATTTTCTCAAAATCATAGTTCTTTCCCTATGCTGAGAAGCTAGCTGCCTGTCCCCTTGGTTTCCAACAACTGCACCACAGAATTATAAAGCCAGTGAGTGGAGACATGGACAAGGACAGTCCCTTTCAACATATCTAAGTTTCAGTCTTGAGGGCAGAGACCTTGTATTGGTTATGTCACCCAGTTTGTCACCCAGAGCTTGTGCAGCACAGCCAGGGTATGCTGGCAGTTGACAGGCATGACTGAGGGATAGGGTGAGATGGGTAGCTTTAGGTCCAGCTCTTTGCTCCTTGGCTTTCTAGATAACTGAGTGGCCATTGTGTCCACTCTAGTCATTAAATATTCACACCCAGAAAAATCTAGTGTTCTGACCTCAAAGTTTTTCTTCTGTCAATTTAAGCAACTTTTCAAAAGAAAATGAATTAAAGATGAAAAGCAGCTGACCCCAAGAGTTCAAAGGTGATGCAGAGATGATTGCGAAAATAGAAAAAGTCTTTCATGTGCACCACATTGTAGGTGTTGTCTTTGTCCTTCCTTCTGAGAGCCTCCAGGATCTTCAGCTCCACCAGTGCCTGGTGGTGAAATCTGAAGTGGTCAGGGAGTGGCAGGGAGAGCAGACAATGGGGACAGAGGACACAGTGTTATGTCATGCTGCAGCAGTAAGCCCCTTTCCCGAGCCTCTCCCCATCTCCCCAGCAAGACTGTCCAGAGGGGCAGAAAGCACTAAAAGCTCCACACTCTTGCCCCCTCTTTGCCCCATCGTGGAATCAGACAGGTAGAGAGAGAAAGAGGAAAAAGATGAGGAAGATCAGAAGAAAAGGCAGAGTCAGGAAGGGTTGGCATTATGAAGGGGTCAGAGTCATGCAGGCAACCCCCCCCACCCCCGCCCACCATGGTCTATGCCATCTGCCAAGCCACACCTCTTCTTGTTCCTGATGATTTTCAAGGCCACCAACTCATTATTTTTGTGATCCAAGCACTTGGCCACCTGTCCAAAGGACCCTTTCCCGATCATCTCCAAAACCTCATAGCGGTAGGCAATGTGGTCATGCAGGACCTGCAGAAGCCAGGCCAGAGTGAGGAACAGAGCCATAAACTCTGGGACTTCCCTCACACTGGGGCCCCTGAGTCAGCTAAGGGCTGACTCCTAGAGGGAACTTTCTGAACTGCCAGGCATTGGTGCAACTCCCACCCTCCTCTCATTGCTGCTGCAGTGGTTAGGTTGTTGCCTAGATCCCAGGCTCCACATGTGGTGCCAGGAAAATCCCACAGGTTCTATCTGTCATACAGTGCAAAGAACATTGGATGGTCTTCAGAAAACTTGGGTTCTAGTCCCAGTCCTGCTACCACCTCTAGTTTTCCACATGTGTGGAAACCTATAAAGCAAGAGGATTAAACAAAGTGGCTCTAAGGTCGCTTCCAGTTTAGACATTTCCTGATTCTTGAATGCAGTTGAGCAGCAGCTTCAGTGTGGAGGAAGTTCTCTTTCTTTCCCCTGATGTGTCTCCACCAATCCGAGAAGGCTTCATGTCTGCTCTGCCTCCTTCTGGTCAGATCTGGTTCTCCTCTTGACTCATCCAGATTTAATTCTAACTTGGAGTTAGCAGTACAGAACTAGACTCTTTCTCAACTAAGAGGAGGAGCATTTTCCAAGAGCCAGAATCACCCATGTCCCTTCATGGGCTGCAAACTAGAGAACAGGTATTTATTCACAGCAACAGGAAACCTTCAATTAAAAAGACTTTATCTGTGTGTCTTCAGACAAGTCACTTACTCACTCTGAGCTGAGTGCCCTCATCTGTAACTGAAGGTTCTGGATAAGAACCTCTAAGGCTCACTCTGGAAAATAGTATGGAGGTTCTTCAAAAAATTAAAAATAGGACTACCCAATGACCCAGCAATTGCACTACTAGGTATTTATCCAAGGGATACAGGTGTGCTGTTTTGAAGGGGCACATGCATCCCAATGTTTATAGCAGTGCTATTGACAATAGGCAAGTATGGAAAAAGCCTAAATGTCCATCAACAGATGAATGGATAAAGAAGATGTGGTACACACACACACACACACACACACACACACACACACACAATGGAGTATTTCTTGGCAATCAAAAAAGAATGAAATCTTGCCATTTGCAACTACATGGATGGAACTAGAGGGTATTATGTTAAGTGAAATTAGTCGGGAAAGGACAAATATCATATGTCTTCACTCATATGAGGAATTTAAGATACAAAATAGATGAACATAAGGGAAGGGAAGCAAAAATAATATAAAAACAAAGAGGTGGACAAAACATAAGAGACTCTTAAATATAGAGAACAAACAGAGGGCTGTTGGAGGGGTTGTGGGAGGGGGAATGGCTAAATGGGTAAGGGGCATTAAGGAATCTACTCCTGAAATCATTGTTGCACTATATGCTAACTAACTTGGATGTAAATTTAAAAATTTATTTATTTATTTATTTATTTATTTATTTATTTATTTATTTATTTGTTTGTTTATAAAAAAGAACTTCTAAGGCTTTGAGAATCCCTGATTCCTAGTTTTACATTCATGAATTTGGGAGAGGTGAAAGACAAATGTTTGTGTACAAGTTCTCAGGATGTGCTTGTGATTCTGTGGTGGTGATTTGTTCATACAGCAGGCATCAAGATCATGAATATGAACAGGTACAACTTTACTAATATGTGGAAGTGGACTACTCCACCTATAAAGGTCTGTCATAAAAATGTACAGGGAAAGGGAAAGGGACAGGTTCTGCACATGCTGGTGTAAAGGTATTTGGTATATATTTTACACAGGCCACCAGTTTGGATATATCATAATTATTTGTCTACATGTCAACTTTGACAATGATTGTCATCACTTGAGGCCAAGGATCAAGTTGTACTCATTTTTATTGTTCCCTTCATATTTCCAGAGTCTAGCAGATGCCCCAGCATGGTAGTTTCTCTCTCAATAAATAGGTATTAAATTAACACTTGCTGACAGAATAGAAATGAGAATGCAGTGGGCTGCTTGTTTCGGAATTTGGTTCAGTGAATTGTCTATTTGTATGTGCAGAATGTAATGAAGATGGAGATTTTGAGTGTACAGTGAGCATATGTTATCCCCCTTCCTGCCTCCACCAGTAACATAGCTGCCTAAGATTTAAGACTGAGGAACTGAGTTTCAGTGAATTAACTTAAAGGTAGTGCTGGCATTGCTGGGGAATTTCCCAGAGATTCTATGCCCAGGTAGGAGGGTGGGCAGGGAGGGGGTTGAGGATATCTGGATGAATTGGAGGTAAGGTTTACATTGGTGATTCTTGACCAAGGATCCATTATTAATCTATCCCTCTTTGAAACTTTGTGTGTGTTCAGGGTTCCTCTTCTGGGATGAGGACTGATAGCTTTTGTCAGACTCCTAAAGGGATCCTTTGCCTAAAAATGTTGAGAACCAGGGCACTAGATAGAGGATGTGTGCTAGAAACTCTAAATCCATCCTTTTCAGAGTGTGGCCCAAGAACCAGCAGCATGGACATCACCTGGCAGATTTTGAGAAAGGCAAAATCTCAGGTCCCATCCCACACCTGCTGGATAAGAGCCCACATTTTTCACAAGATCCCTAGGTAATTTGTGTACATAGTAAAGTTTGAGAAACACAGCTCTAAATACTCTTAAGAAGTATGTATCTTCTATGAAGCCTCACAGACCAATCTTGTCTCCTTTAAATGTAAATGAGTTGTGAGAAAATGACCAGAGAAGGAAATTCCCAGCAGCCCAAAAACCTAATGGACTAAGTATCACACACATCTGGACATCTTTGGAAGTGGACATTTCTTTCCAAAGCAAAAGAGACACTTTTCACCGCCCAGATTTCACCTTCAGGCTGGTAAGAGGCACTGTCCTGAGGAATTCTCAGATACAATCAGAAAGGAGGAGAGATTCATCTTTGCTAGGATCCATCTTTGGAAAACTGAAGAAAGTTGAGCATTAGGGACCAGGGGCTACAGTGACAAGAACTTTTTTTTTTTTTTTGGTTGAGAGTAAATGGCAATTAAAATAAAATTGAAAGAGGTCCATGTGTGGACTTGTATGAAAGACCCAAAAAAGAGAATGCTGGGAAGAATGCATCTTATTCCATGGAGTCTGGCCTTTCCAATGGGTCCAGGTTTGTGCACAAGAAGAGCTTGTGGGAATTTGCCAAGGATGCAAATCTGTTACCCCAAATACTCTTGGAGAAATCAGTATTGTTAGCAGAGTAGTTGTTATATTAATTGCATGTTTTCCCATTTTTAAACATGGCATGTTCCCATTTCCCATTTTTAAACATGGCATTTCTTTGGTTTAGAACCTACTAGAATCCTTCAGGATGCCTAGTCCAAGGTATATTGGCACCAAATGCTATAAAATACCCCACACTTTTTTCCTTTCCAGATTACCTCTTGTCCCCAAGCCCTAGGCCCCTGGAGATACCATGATCTACTCCCCTGTCACCTTCATATAGGAGCCATGTTCATCATCAAAACTCGTTTTGCTGAACTCAGGAGTCACGTGGAGCTTCTTTGCTTCCAGCCCCAGGAACCACAGCTCCGTGTAGCCCAGGATCTCACTTTGTTCATAAGAAGACAGCTGGTTCTTAAAAAACTTTAGGGCCTCTGTGTGAAAGACACTATCATTGTCAGTTGAGGCAACAAGGGGATTTTCCCAGAGGGCTGATGATGGCACCCCTTCCAGCTCATGAGTCAGTCACTCTTTTCCTCAACTAGATGGCTTACTAAGGATCATGTGTCTTTAATCTCACAGGATAAAAATGTAAAGGATAAATGCTAAGGTGTCATATTCATTTCAACAAATCAGGAGGGAAACACAAGGGAAGGGAAAGGGAGAATTTAGACCTCAAAAAGCTATGAGTTGCAGCAGCATGGTAAAAATTCCAGACATAAACCTAGTGTCAATAATAGTATGTAGTTATGGCAGCAGTTTCCAAGTTAATATGGTTTGGGGCTACACAAATGGTTTATCCTGGGAGGGTTTGCAAACTATAATGACTTCAAGGACCCGACAGGTAGTTTAAATGCAACTTTAAAGGGGCCCAGGAGATATTCCCACTCAAATCTGCAGCTAAGCCAATGAGTACCTCCAACTACAAGGAAGGAATGTGTGTTCACTCTTCTCTAACCCTCACTGATTGCCAAACCCCATCAGGTGTTTGGTGTTTGGTCTGAGGGCAGGTGGGGTAGGAGAGGGAACTGCTGGAAGGAAACAAGACATGAGAGAGAAAACCTGTGTGAAGGGCAGTCATGTGAAAGCTGAAAATGGCATATTCTTAGCTCAGAAGACAGAACCATGACCTAAGAGCACTAGGAGCAGATATCAGCTCTGTAAAGGCAGAACTAGCTCAGAACTGAAGTGATGTGGTCATGGATGGTTCCCGAGATTGTTTAAGAAGAAGGACAATAATTTCAAAGCTGCAAGTAAAGAGCTCTAAGCATTGGATAGTGTCGGCATAGTGGATATTGGTTCTCCTCCTTTGAATTCTAATAGAGGATGAATCTCTGAACCTTGTGAGAAGTGAGGCTCCTGGCCAAAAACTGATGTGTGATTTTTCTGGCCCAACACCTGGAAGCTTAGCCCTCCCCACCCAGTTCATCTTGTGACACCTTGGCCATCTAGAACCAGCCCCCACTATACTCTGCTACCACTCCAGAGACATACCTGCTGCTGTCAGAGGCACCTTGTGCTTTCTTGGTGGTTTCTCCTCTGGCTTGGGATCTTGGGTTTTAATGCTTGAATGGAAAGGCATTTCTGAAGTCTTGAGCTCAGAAGCTGACATCTGATTGTGAGTCTGATTCTCCTGTCCAGACAAAGAGACTTGAAATAAAGGACTGCTTAGACTTCTCCGGGGTGTCACAAACCATTTATCAGACCAAGGACACCCACATCCAGCCAGACTCTTCTCCTTCCTTCCCATGGAGAAAATGGTAATTATGAGACATTAGGTTTTCTCAATCTTCCTCTCAAAGGAATCAATCTCATGATTCTCTGTGAGGCCCATGCACATTACCATGTGTAGTTGACTACCCCAGTGACATCTTACTGCAGGAAGAAATGGAATAGTTTTTTTGTTGTTGCTTTTTTTTTTTTTTTTTTTTTTACTGCTGCTCTGGAGAAGGCCAGTTCCTAACTAGATAAAGTGACTTGACCAAGGGCACGAACACGTGAACTTATGTGTCTATAATATCTCTTTAACTTGGCACTTTCTCACATCTCATTTGGCCCTTACATAAAAAAAGGGGACACTGGAGGAAAACAATTATTCTGTATTCTTCTACCATTTGTACATCAGACATTTCATTCTTCCTTTTCACAAAGAATCCTCATGACAATCCTATAGAGAGCCCATTTTGATTAAAGAAGGTCAGTGATTTATTCGATAAGGTTTGCATTCATCGTAAGGGGTGAGAACAGGACTAGAGCCCAAATATTCAGGTGCCATTGTGCTTTCCCCACCATCCTAGGCCTTCATAAACTTGATTGTAGACTGAAGTCACATCTTTAACCTGCCTGCTCAGGGCCAGGTCCATTGCCCTGTACTTACCTGATACAGCAAGGGTGGCTTTAGCAAGATTTTGTTGCTGATGTGTGGGAGGTTAACCATGTTCTTCTTCCCCTTGGTATCCACAAAAGGGAGTGAAGTAATGCTGGTGTTTGTATTCTATATAAGAAGGAAGTGGATAAGGTACAGACGCCTCAGGCAAGAAATCTATGTCTTCAGGGAGTCATTTCTCCCAGGTTTCCCGCCAGAGCAAGAATGAGCCTAAACCAAATACAGGCCTAAATCTATTTTCAAAGCTCTTGTGGAGAAAATAGAGTGGAAAAGCATATGGGCTGTGGGTTTGAATCCCTTCTCCATCACGTACAGCTGTAGACCTTGAATGGGTGACACAACTCTTCCTTTAAGTTTTAGTTATCTCTTCACTACCATGGGGACAAAAATGGGATCTACCTCATAAGGGTTTTGTGAGGTAAATGAGGCAACTCATGTAGAGTATTCCATAAGTGTTAGCCATTATTATCATCATTTCAATATCTTACCACCATAATATGGGGCAGTTCTTCCTGCTATATAATTTACATCTTCCTTGGTATAACATAAGCTCCCACCTCCTCTGCATTATTGATTTGACCTCACTTGGACCCCTGCCCCCATGCATTGACTGACTGATTTACTGATTATGAGAGGTAGTCTATCTATCTATCTATCTATCTATCTATCTATCTAGTGAATAGCAACATTTAAAACTGTGTGGAGATGAGGCAATGGTGATGTGGATAGAGCATATGCATCATATTATGCTGAGGTGACCAAAAATGCCTCTGAAAAGCTACCCTGTAGCTGGGAAGCTATCCTACCTATCCTCATCCTTCCCTAGAGAAAACACACTAAGTATCACTTCCTACCTTAGGCAAGAGTCGAGTCATTCTGAGGTTCTTGATCTTGGGAGGTGGCTTCTGGACTTGAACCAAAGGCTTACACTCAACCTAGATCAAGTACAATAGTATTGGAATAGTGCTTAGCATGCTATTACCTCAAGCTGTTGAGACATATGTTTTGCTTCATTATCACAATCAAGATACACTTGAAGCCAGCTCTCCTGACCCCAAAGCTAGGAAGAGCTAAGAGAGGCTCAAGAAGTACTGAATGAATGTACGAATGAATGCATATAGAAACAAGTGTTCTTTCTCACAGTGCTTATCCTGGATTGAATTTTACTATGGTTTTCATACTTTTTAAAAAAATCCATAGAAGCCTTTCTTCAAATAAAATCTTAATTAGGCACCCTGGATAGGGGAAGAAGTAAAAGCTGAGTGGTTCTTTCTACAGAGAAGGAAATGCCCATAGTCTTGCCAAGGGACTCTTTATGCCCTCAGAGTGGCTCTGAAGGTGCCCTAGTGGAACCCACTAGAATACAGAAGACCAGCCTGAACACCAGTGATTGATCAGAAGAGACTTCACATATAGAAAGGGGTCTGGAGGAAAAAGACCAAAACAGCAGAGCTGTGTCCCCCAAAGGGTGGCAAGCACACAAGGAAAGTGTGTGACATAATTGTATATAATACAAAATAACAGTTATCTAATGGTTATGCATTTATTTTAGTATCCACGTAAAAACTATAGCACATTAAACCTGTAATATTATAGTTGTTACTATGTAAAATGATATTAAACTTTAAGGCAAAGACAAAAACAAAAACAAAGTGTGAGTGTTATGGAGATATGGCAAAAACCATGAAGGTGGCACTGAAATGACTAAAGTTTGGCAAAAACAGGCTACAGTTTGAATCTAGGTTCTGCTCTTTGAAGCAGAACTCATGGGTCCCTCCTTCCAGCCGTCTCTTAGGGAACTGAATGACACTTACCCAAAGCTGAGACAAGCTGGTGCCAGATCCACTTCTATAAAATTTGGTATACTGGCCACACTGAAATAGGAACTGGGTATAGTACTTTAATATCATCCAGCATAGCTAAGCACTCTACAGAGCTATAATGAAGGGAACCATTTAGAATAGTACATCTTGACATCCTAGAATAGGGACATGCTCTGAGGGAGAATGGTCTGCATAGCCTTACACCAAACTAATTTGATTCGTTAACATATACTAATGCAGGATTTGATTGTCTATTGAAAAGGCAATGATGCTATCTGAGAAAATACTGCAGTCACAAATCTCAGAGTCCCAACTTCTCATCAAATAAGTTTGTGGGACTAAAACTTATAACAATCACCAACAATGACAAGCTAGCATTGAGAACAAGTTGGGGAGACTGGACAGAAAAAAATATATTAACAAAACACAACTAAATACCAAACAAAGGGCATGAAGATTGAGTGTCAACAAAGAAGGAAGAGATCACTGTAAATAAAGTCTTCCCAAGTGGATGTGAGGAGGCTTTGTGGAAAGGGTGTCACTTGGCCTGGGCTTTAACTGGGAGGAAGGGTAGAGAGCATGTTCATTAGGTGAGACAATATCTGGGAATGCTCTGAGGGTTTCCACTGCTCATGCTGGGTAAGCTGGAGCAGAGGGTACACTGGATTGTGGAAGGCACTGAATGCTAAGGTAAGATATGTGATCTTTATCTAATGGGCAATAGTGAATCACTGACAGTTTGTAAGGCTGGGAGTTACATATGCAGAGCAGTATTTCAGAAAGACCCTTCTAGCAGCAATGTGGCATAAAATAACAATTAGACAAACTCTGAAATCAGACCTTAGTTTTAAATCCCAGCTCCACTACTGATTAGTTGTTTAACCTGGGGCAAGTTATTAACCTTTTTTTTTCATGTAATATGGAGATAATAACAGTACCATCTTCCTAGGGTTGTTGTAAGTATTAAATGAGTTCATATGCATAAAGTGCTTAAACCAGTGCCTTGTATAAGCCAAGGGTAAGTGTGTGCTAGACCTCATTCTCCTCTTTTGTAAAATGAAGAGTGATTTTGGTTATTTCTCATGAAACAAGAAAATCATGGACTTAGAAATGATGGAGAATGAGCAAGATGATGCTGAACTTAAAATGGTTAAAGGAATTGAAGATGTTTAACATGAGAGAAGATAAAATAAAATATCTGGGAGGTTAACAATTCTGATACTGCCATCATATACACTGGAATCAGATGACTAAATAAATGGACTACAGATGACAGGAACCAGGTTTCCCAATGTTGGACTGGAATTTATAGATAATCAAGATCAACATCAACATTATCACTATGTGATAATAGATTAGAGTTGGAGACATAAGTAGGAACTCATGTTTAACTCAATGTACATACAAATGGTTACACATAGTTATATTTATAAATATGTGTATATGTAAGGGTTAATACATGTGCGTGTGTGTGCGTGTGTGTGTGCACACACACACATGCACACACATTTCTTTGTTTTATTAGCTTGAGAGGTCCTAAAAGAAATAACACCCCAGTAGAAACAAGGGAACCTAACACTCACAGCTTGGTTTTTAATGCCATTCTCCAGTAAAAGGAACCAAGCTCCTTAGAGAAATGATTGGTTCTAGGACTGAAAAAATGTACAAGATGAGCCTGGAGTATCTTCTAGTGACATAAAGTAAGGAAGGAGTAAAAAAAACACAAAAACAATAACAAAACAAAAAAACACATTGATGAGAGTGTGTCAAAGGGGCATAGGAACCAGCTGAAAAAGTTCCCAATGGCCAAAGCTGGAACAATTGTAGCAACAAAATAGTGTTGGTTTGTAACACAAACTTTAAAGCAAATATCTATGAATCCATACAGATATAAATGAATGATTTAATAAAGAAATTGGCAGAAGAAAAGAAACAAATCTTCCAAGCAGAAGAGTACCTAATATATTATACAGATACTCCACCACAGAGGGTGGGAGCACAACTCCCCACTTCTTAAGCTGTGCATAGTGGCTGGTTTCCCAAAAGCATAACAAGGAAAGAAGAGAACAAAAGCAACTTTACAGGAGAAACCAGACAAACACTACCTTGGCCAGGTAATCTAGTCAACATCAGCAACCATGAAGCATGTAGATAGTAGGTGTCATTGATATAATTTGATGAAATGGCATTTTGCTTTAGTGGTCTTCTTCCCAAAGCCTACAACCCCAATCACATCATGAGAAAAACAGACAAATTCTGATAGAAAGGCAACCCACAATATACGTGGTCAGTATTCCTCAAAACTGGCAAGGTCATTGAAAACAACCAAAGTCTGAGAAACTATCACAGCCAAGAGGAGCTTAAGGGGACATGACAGTGAAATGTAATGTGACATCCTGCATAGGAACATGGATAAAGGACATTAAGTGACAATTAAGGAAATCTGCCTAAAGTGTGGAGTTTAGTTAAAAATGTATCGCTGTCAGTTCATTGTTGTAACTAAAATACCACACAAATACAAGATTTTTAATAGTAGGGGAAACTGGGTGTGAGGTATGGAGTGGTATAAGGGAACTCTGTAGTAGCTTCTCAGCTTTTCTGCAAGTCTAAAACTGATCTTAAATAAGTATATTAATAAAACAAACAAAACCCCTGAGGGGAGGGGTGATATCAGAAGGGCTATTGCTTATGACTCAGTATGAACTTGCTCTACGTGATCTGAAGGATGGAATGAGGTCAAAGTGTGGGATTTATAGAGAGGTAGTTTCGAGTTCAATAAAAAGAAGGATTTTCTAGAGCTTAAATGGAACGGGAGTTCTTATGAGGTAGTGAGTTCTCCATCACTGGAAGTGCCAAGTCCACCTAATGAGCACCTGTGAGAAATGTGCATGGACTCGATGAGTGGGCAAGATGTAACCTCCAAAGTCCTATCTGTCTCAAGACTCATTCAAGTGACCCCTAGGAGTGCATCTTGAGTGCACCCGTCATCCTCTCATGGAACCAACGTTGAGGACCATCGTATAGAACAATGTTTCCCAACTTTGTCATACCACACCACACATAAATAATTATATTTGTGTGACACTCTGGGGCAAAAAGAGGGGGCAGCTCATAGACAGATGCTACCAACACAGGGTTCCAGCTGCCTCAGGCTCATCTGCCCTGAGGGCTGCTGATCTCTACAACTGTGCACACCTCTACCAGTGTGTCCCACAAGTTTACAAACTTTCTGCTTGTTTGTCTCCAGCAGCTTCCTCGAGAGACACACGATGGCCCATAACAACATTTCATTCTATCGTGGTATCCCCAGGAGGCAGGAAGAAGAGGGTGTGATCTCCCATATTCACAGTGGCAAAGCAGAATTTTTCGTTTAAGACCATGAGCTTTGTGGCACTGTTCTATGATCCCTGACTAATCTCTGAGCCAATGTAACAGGAATCTCTAACAGTCATGAGATCTATCTCCAAATTTAGCGTTCTCAGTGTAAAAAATGTTTTATTCACAGGGTACATAGCATAGGCAGTGACTCCTATGCTGTCTAAAACCTGGGCACTGGCCCAAAACTAGAGAAGCCTCTGGAGGAGCCAGGAGATAAAAAGACAAGATATCTGAGGATGCCACCAGGGCCCTTTCACGGCTTCTTGTTATGAGCATCACTGTTTTTGGAGGCCTTCTCAACAGCCAGGATTGAACTATGAAGCTCCTCTATTTTCCAAATTTCTTATACAAACATGTACTGCTTTTATAATTTAAAAATACCGTTATTTAAAAACAATATTATAACAAAGAACTCTAAATGGTTCATTGCAACACTAGCAGGGAAAGGCAGTGACAATGGCAGGGGGCACTCTTTCCGTGAGAGCCTGAAACAGAATCAGACCTGAGAAGACACTGTCAAGGAACCTGGACTCAGAGCCTCAGAGCATGGACACTGCACTGTACAGATCGAAAGAAGGGAGGGGAACCCCCGTGTTCACAAGTGGGCTCAAGTTGCTAGGAGACCCCTGTGTTCACAAGTGGGCTCAGGTTGCTAAGATTCCCCCACGTCTAGGCCCATATTCAAATCTTGGGATTCTCCTGGGGTCTCCAGCTATTCTTGCTGTCACTGGGTG